GTACAATGATAGATTTTATATATATATATACACACACACACACAAATATATATATACAGATATATATATATACACACACATTTATATTTCTGAGGGAAATTCTGGAGACCCTCAAATCCAATCCAGGGGACCATTCTACAGGACAGGAACATAACTGAAGAAAACTGCAGCTCCAAAGAAAGTGCTATGTAGTAACTTGCCCAAATAAAACTATTAACACAAAGTCAACATTTTGAGGCAAACCACAGCTCTAGAACAAATCAGTAGTTTGCAGTACTGTCTAGGATGATGGGTATACTAATCAAAGGGCAGATATTTATTTTGTAGGATTTTTATAGCCTGTTTCCCCAGAAGAATGTCATATCCTCAGAAAGTGGAACCATGTCTTATTCTTCCTTGTAGTTCAAGCATCAAGCACTTGACATGGCAACGAACTTTTGTTCACTGAATAAATGAATGAATGAAATCAATGAGGCATGAAGATGGGGCCCTTGGGAGACTTTTTCTTGAAGACTGCTTATCAACTTTGCTCTGATTCCAGGCTCAGTCAGCTTTCTGAGGAACGTGTGGCTACTAATAGATGCATTCAAATAAAGAAGAGAATGTCCAACAGTGTGTTGCACTGAGCACCTTATATTAGATATATAAGATGTATGGGGATTTAAAAGGGATAGGAGAAAGATTGTGCATAAATTTTGTTCACTGCTGCCACTTGCCATCATCCATTGCACATGCTCTCTGCTGTATTAGAGTCAATTGCCCTCCATGGCAGGACCCTGGCTCTGCTCCCACCAACTGGAGAGCTCCCACCTCTTTCCAACTTACCCTGAGGCCTCCAGGCAGTAGAATCCTTCTGGTTTAACATGATCAAATAGATACTCTATTATAATCATCTATAAAAACATGTTGAAGAATATAGATATTTAACAAGATCAGAGAGGAAGAAGGGCCAACAGAAGAGACTGGGAGAAAGTGGTGAAAGAATAGTGTGAAAAATGAGAGAAGTATCTTGGAAGCCAAATGGGAGAAACTGTATTTAAAGGAGGGAGTAACCAGAAGAGTCAAATATTGCTGAGAAGGTAAGAGAGATGAGTGCTAAAAATGCCAA